GAAACACCACATTCGAACACACAAACGAAAAAAACCAGTCCATAGATGTTGTACGTACTACTCGCCTACTGCCGGATCTCTGTTATAAATACCACTCTCTATATATACCTCTATATATATTCTATGTATATTGTTGTAGCTTCGCCACAAGCGAAAGCAATCGCTTGAAGGACAGTCCTTTGCATCGTCCTTTGCCAACGAAACTTAACGGGTAAAAGTAAATTCATATCTTGAGCACAGCCTGATTTCGTTCTTTGATTGAATCCTTCTCACTTTGATATGGAAAGCATACGGGCAAGATCCTGAGATTGAACCTAAACTTGCCTTGAGACAAATTGAATATGAGGAATGTTTACCATGTTTCCCGTGTTTTTCCCGCCTGTCTGTACAGAATAACCCCCGATTATTGTTGTCTCCCGCAACCACAACAACTGTACTATATAGTCTTTTAAACCCCAGATACAATATCTATGTCAGAACAACAGAAACAACACGACACAAGTCCAACTACCCGATTGCATGTGCTCTGCTGTCTATATATATGTGTTTCCTATATCTTCTCCCAAACCTTCCTATTGCAATGAAAAGCTCCCTTGATCTGAGTTTGTGATATGGAAAACATTAATGTGTATATACGTGTATTTCTGGAAACTATCTTCACCGAAACCCCCAACGAACTTTGTTTGTCTTGAGGCTTTCTTGTTTGGGCTATTACAATCTGAAAGGTATGGCAAAAGTGGCGCAGGTACATCGGGAAGGGGTTTCTTGGTAGGTCAGGTGCTGTTCTTATAGATTAACCCTACCTCACAAAAACAACCGAACCTCTCTAGCTCTTAGACCCTGATATATTTAGAACTTAGCTGCACGATTAATGTTAGAATTTTCATCGATCTATCTTTCCTGGAACAAAAACGTAAAATCCTGGAGCAACAAAAGCAAAAAGACCAACTTGCAGAGCAACAACGTCAGCAACGCCAACAGCAACTGCAACTACTTTATCAACAAAACAAATGATCAATGAAATAGTAGCCAAAAACTCTACCCAATACTACTAGACAAAGAGCCAACTTCCCTTTCCCAAGACCCCAGCTGAAAGTCCCCTCCTTTTTCCGACCACCTGACCCCCAAATAAGACTAATCCGAAACTAAAAGACGTTTGCTGAATTATATTTACGAACTGTTTGAGAGACAGCACTGAAAGTTCCTACACCCATCGCAACCCATCCAGTATTAACCATACAAACTAACTAACACCCCACCTAATCCCGCCCGATCTCAAGGCTTCAACTCATCCGATGATATATTATCGTATAATCTCACACCTTGTTATGCAGTTCTGTTCGATTACTCTTAATAACTAGCTCGTAAGGAATTTGTTAATGAGTTTCCTATTAATCGCAATCCGTTTGAGGAGTGTGCAGTTTCAAGACTACGAAGCACTCGATTGCCAACCAACAACAGCAACAACAAACTACAACTACAACAAAACAAAATAATTCTAACGTATTTTGTGCACATCCTGTTTTCTCTTTCTATTCTCTCACTACTCTGTCTCACGCTACTCAACCGATGTAAAAAAAAAATCAAAAAAAAACAAAAAACCAATATATTTTTTATGAATCTCGATTAACCAACAACAATTAAACGACTTAAAAAATAAATTTATTGAAACTTGCATAACACCAAACAAAAAACCAACGAACAATTGACCAAAATAACGGCGCTTTCAACGATCTCAATGCAAAACCCCGAATCACTGACCACTGCCCTCGAGCAGCTATAAGAAAACTGTCCAGTACGATCCCAGGAACAGCGATACCTACAGAGCCATTCAAGAAGAGGGCGGCTACAGCAACTATGGCCAGTCCTCGCCACAGGAAGTAACCATTCCTGTGCAGACTAAGGTCTATCAGCCGAATAGATTGGTTCCAGGAAAGGTAAGATCGTGCCCAACCGTTCGAAAATCAAATCAAGCAAATCTCTCAATCAAACCGACCTCAGTCAAAACTCTATGTGAAGGCATCCGACAATATCGCTCGATTCTCAAGCTCATCCTGTACAAAGTCTATCTGTCTCTCTCTGATCCTATCTCGCTCGCTCTGTCTCTCTTTCTGTGCCAATGTTAACGCGTACAGTTGAACCAACCGAATGTTAGTCAACAGTGTGTCTGTGTGTCCTTGTCTGGCGGCATGTTAACGCGCTGTAACGACGAAGTAGATTTACTAACCTGGTTTTTGGTCGATCACCTGCTGGCATCGAACTACACTAAACATCCATTAACTCCATATTTGTGTATATTTTCCAAATCACAAGCATACACATCTTTTTTTGCACTCTAACATAAAGTAACATTTAACAAAAGCTCATAACAGTTGGAGATTGCATTCGAAAAGTTTTAACCGAAATTAGCTGAAATTTGCCAGATTTATTAAGCAATATCTTATCTCTCCATTTCATTCGAATGATTTTACAGAAACCAGCTTCAGCGCCAGTATCCCGGCCGCCGTACAATGTAAGTAGCTCTGTTACGCCACTGTTAACTGAATGTTAATGATATATATTTAACTCACAGGTGGTAAACACCCACGATGAGAACATACGCCAGAGCGGCTCCTTCAATCGTCTCATGTACAGCGTTATTGGTGCCACCGAGTACTAGAAACTGCAGCAGCAACACCAGCGACAGCAGCAACATCATCAAAACACCAGCAACATGTGTTGCAGTTGGCACCGACAGTTGTTTATCTCCTAACATATTTAGCGGATTTTTATGAAATTCTGTTTAACTTACTCAATAAATTATATGAAGAACGACAAGGAATTGTGAACCACTAACAAGCTTATGGATAAATTGGATTGGTAAACGATTGGCATCGAAATAAATTTATGATATGTCTACAATTTAAACACCCACAAATTAACTCCGCCTCCAACTATTTATTGTCTCCATATGCAATAGTAAAATCTATATAAATTAATTAAATAAAAAAGAAAAGTAAACTAAATAAGCAGGAACTTTGATTTATAGTTATGTTTATGTTATGCTGATTCTAAGTTAACAGCCGTCAGGTGTGTTAATGACGAGTGATTCTAGTCATGGAATGTAATAGGTATACACAATGTTTTAATAAATAAAAGTGACTTTGATTGGACGAAAAGAAATGTGTGTACTATGAGGTTTTAAAATTTGCATATGCCTGCACCTGATATTTATATTTTAAGTGTGATATAATTTGAATCAGGCATTTCAACATGCCGGCAAAGTAATTGTATCACAATGATTTGAATATGACGAGCTCTTTTGTCTGTCTGCCTTCTTTATAACGTAAGCAAGTAGCCCAACCCAAGAAAAAACCCCTAAAGAGTAGCCGAAAATCTTTGCATAACATGACGCTGCAAATCTGCACTTATTCCATCAATCATTCCGGCAATTAAACGTATTTATATTGAAACTATATGCACACATGAGCCGAGAAATGAGCGTACCCATAAATTTGACTTTAATTTGAATGGAAATAAGTCACTCGAGAGTGTGTGTACGTGTGTAATGTGCATAACAATTGTCTGCAACACATAATGTACTTTCACTTCACGGCTAAGTAAGCCACAAATGTGGTTGCTTTTCTTTCGATTGTTTTGGAGCTGGCACAATGTCAGTGCGATCCCATTAAGCGGTCAGCCCCATTTTGCCCCGATTACAACTACACCCCCCCAAAACGACCTTGTCGAGTGCGCCAAACAATATCTATGCAAATTCAGGGCGTGTGCGTATGGTAGCAACACATAAAGAGTGCTCTGTGGCAATTGTAATCGCATCGACGTCTCAAATATCAAATTCGGAGGAGGACTTATGGGGGTTTAATGACACGATCACATGATCGTATGGGAGTGCAGAAAAAGATTTGGCAATCGGCGACATCGAAGATCGCTTGAACCCATTCAACCGCAACGCGAACGCAACGCCAGATTCAGATTCAGATAGATAGGTAGATGGAGACACCGAAAACTAAGATTACAATTAAAAAAAAGATCAATATTAACTTGATATATTATAATATAATCTACATATTGTTTCGTTATCATTAAAATTAAACTTATATTTGGAATATCAAACCTTTTTTATATGAATAGTTTCAAATGGAAATGAATTATGTCCAATATCTTTTTGTGTGTGATGCTATCAAAATTCTGAATTTACTTATTCGAGAAAATGCGTTTGATATCAAGACGAAAGTACTCTCAATTTTTTTGCGAGACGGTTTTTACAGAATGCTAGATTTTGCTTTAAAGAAATTGGGATTTTGTCAATCATGACTCACTTTTGTGGCTTTTTCTAAGTGTAAGTACTCACAGATAGATGGATGGCTACATAGATGGGCGCCAATGAAAAACGTTTACGGCTATTTGGGTCACAAACAATGGAGGCGGCTCTGCACTTGTTGGGTTCGATTTTTGACTCGGGTGTGGCTCTCCTCCGATCGCATTGACCTCTTCTTCGAGAGTCTAGCGATTAATTGGGCATGATTATCTAATGGGAAGTCATCAAGATTCCATTGCATGTCATCAGATGTATATACTTCAGAGGAGTCAACCCTAGCGTAATTTATTGCATTGCATGAAGTATAGGTGGTATATACATAGGTGCTGCAGTGACAGATTCGGGAAAGTTTTCAAACGCCCCCTTTTGGTGTTAATCAGCTGCCTCTCTGTTAGCCAAGTTAACAGCTGTTGGCCGAGATCACGTAGGGTTACACAAAAAACCTTTAACAATGGCCCAGGTCGAGGGTAGAGGAACTCTAACTATGATTTGAACGGAAGTGACAGCCGAGTTAGGGGGGTTTGGGGCTTAGCCACCCAAAAAACAGCTGTTGTAAATCAGCCAAGAGAGTCGCACTATGGCCAAAAGAGAGTGAGAGAGGCTGGTAGTTGTGTAGTAGTTGCCGCTCCACGTCTGTTGATATAAAAGTGCAATTTGGGTCCGCAGCCAGCGCAGATACAATTGTGGCTCCACCGAGGTTTCATTTGCAGTTAGAATTCGAATTTGAATTTAAGTGTACGCGTGTCGTTGGCAGAGTGTGATCTAACATCCAGTACAACAGCAGCAACAGCCAGTAATCCAGCAGAAACATCCAGCAACCCAGCAGCAACATGCAACTCCTGCTCGTGGCGGCCTCTTTGGCGATTTTCGGTCTTGTCAGCGGACAACAGGGCGTGGACCCCGCCTACTTGCGGCAGTACTACCAGCAATTGCAACACCAGCAGCAGCAACAACAAGCCCAGCCCAACGATGGCACGCCCATTTTCGAGCAGAATTCGGAACAAACGCAGCAGTATGTCAGTGCCGGCCAGCAGATCAGGATCAAGGATACGGTAGCCGAGCAAATCCGGAACCAGCAGCAGCAGCAGGGATATGTGGCGCCTGCGGTGAGGGATTACCAGGTGGGTAACCCTGCTCATTCATTTCATTCTCCTCCTCTATATGCTGGATGTATATATTCTATATTATCTTTTATTTCCATTTATTTAGCAATACCAGGCCCAGCCGCAACAGTCCGCCTACCGCCCACCTGCTCAGGCTGCTCCTCAGCCACCTCGGAGGATCCAACAGCCCTCGTACCAAGCACCCTCCACTTCGATCCTCGGATCCAAGGGACAGCACAAGCTGTCGCTCCAGCAGCAGCAGGAGGAGGAGGAATACGATGACGTAAGTTTTGTGATACACAGATAAATATTTAGCCAATTTTACGAGAAACTTGAACCAGTTTTTAAAGAGTTTGTCATAAAAAAACCTATTAGGTTTTGTGTTTTAGTGATTTTGGGAATCCTTATACCAATAATTATTATTATTATTATATTACCAATAATAATTAAAAAAGTATAGACAGCGTAATAGTATAAATTGCCTAATTTACTTTATCACTTATAATATTTAGTTATTTTTGTGAGAAATGTGTTTCAGTTTCGTTTTAGTAATTATGGGATACATTTAATAAGATATTATTTGTATACATGCCAAATAACCCATTAGCAATAATAGTTTAATTTAACTTGATACATTAGTATCAAATTGAAAACGATCCTCTTTTTGCGGTGCATAGATAGAGATAGAGTTTGAACTCCCAGTCAAGTGGGACTTTCGCGCACTTTCCTTTTCGCTTCACTGCAGCACCAACTGCAGCAGCAACAGCTACATCAGCAACATCCACAACAGCAACAGCTACAACAGCAACATAATTACAATTGAAGCATGCAATGGCATTGGGGATGGTTCGGGGGAGGGAACTGTGACTTGGGGTTCATTAACCACACTCGGCAACAGTTACAGCGTGGATTTGGCCATGGCCATATGTGTGTGCCTTGCATTGTGCATGTTCATTGGCCCGGGTTCGCTCCTGGTCCGGTCCGTTTGGCCACTTAGCCATCGGCGATTTTTTATGGCCTTTGCATGCGGAAGCTGGCGAATATCCGTTACCAAAGTGACCATAATCCATCAGCCTTAATGCCGCAGAGAGCTAACGAGATGGGGTTAAGGTGCTCAGATGGCGTGTCATCTCTTAGCCACTTAAAATTGATGGTCATGACAGTATGGGATAGGTCTTGAATAATATTAAAAGCCAAGAAAAATATTAGTTGATTTTCATCTCCATTAAACTGAAATGGGAAAGATTAGAAAGCAATAAAACATGAATTTACGCACATTTTTATATTGCAGTTATTTCAATGCATTAAAGCACCTCATATTGAAACCCATATTTTAAAAGCCCATAAAATCAGCATAGCCGCAAAGGTACCATTAACAAGTTAAACCACAAGTCGCCCCTAGATACTGAATTTTCTGCCTTCGATGGCCATAAAAGTGACACTGCCGTTGGCCATTACATTCTCCGCCGGACAATCACTTTCAAATGCAACCCATATACCCCAATGAGAACCCCCCTTCCCCAAAAGATCTGCAGTTTCGAGCCCAATTCCCACAATTCCAAACAATGACTTTCAATGGACATTGCACGCATTAGAACCGGCTTGCAAACTGGCTTTGCCTTTCCAATTTTTGGCTTGCAGTTCTTTTTTTTAGGCCACGTCAGGCCCAAAGGCTTTATGAAGAACGAGGGGATCGAAATGCCACGCCCATAAGCCACGTTCTTCGTTTTACCTTAACCCAGTTGGCAATGTTCTTTGATCAGATTGTCTTGGCCAACTGAAGGTCTTTTCGCTGCCACTGCATCCTCACAAAAAAGTGGGGAAATCGACAACCTTGTGCATAAATTATCCAAAGCCTCGAGCTTGTTTTTATGGGTGGTACTTCTACCGCCTGGTTGCATAATCATAATACGCCGTCATCGGATCGATCGTGTGATCTGCTGCAACGGCTCTTTGATTTCGTGCGCTCGGACCATTAAAATATGCAAGCGGGTCCAAATTACTTTCACTTGTGCGTGATCTGGGATTCGGAGTTACAGCCTACGCGCATGCGCCTGCGGTGGTGACGTAACCACCGTCTGGACACGTTTTTTTGGGCCAGCCAGCCACGTAAGTGGGTCAGCGCTAAGGTGCAGTACGCATTTGAAGTCCCAATCAAACCCCCAGCCACAAAGTGCTTAAATAAGATATTATTTTTTAAAAGATATCGTATTTCCAACCTATTTTTTTCTATAATTATAAATTTACAAAGATATTATTATTGTTGTCTAACGCTATTTTATTGCTAACTGAAAGCTAAGAGGGGGTTTTGTTGTGGAGTTTTATCAGCACAAGGCCTTAAGATCAACTACATTGGTCGACAGGCTAATTTTTTTTAACTCAGATAGTTTATCTTAGATGTTAAGTAACAGTTGTATTACATTAGTTATCTTATCTAATCCAATATTTTAGAATTTTGTAGGGAATAGATTTTAATTTAAATATTAGTTTCTGTAGGATTCGACATACCTTAAAAAATAAAGATCTTATAATTAAGGAGCTGATCTTCAGTTAAAAACTATTTAAAACTCTGTCGATAAAAGCAAAATTTTGCACAAATTCTGTAAAAGAAATTCTTAAAATTTATCTTATCTTCTTTTTTTTTACCATTTTACAGCAAAACTCCTCGTACCAGTTTGGATTTGATGTGAAGGACGACGAGTTCACTAACTACCAGAACCGCAAGGAGATCCGCGATGGTTCGGTGATCAAGGGCAGCTACTCGGTGGTGGATTCCGACGGCTTCATCCGCACCGTCAAGTACACGGCTGACCCCAAGGAGGGATTCAAGGCCGAGGTCATCCGCGAGCCCACCGACATCGTGGTGAAGATCCCCACTCCCCCGCCGCCGACGCAGCTGCTCCGCGCTGGAGGCCACAAGGCCCAGCAGGAGTACAGCTCCGGTCCCAGCAAGCAGCAGTACCAGCACCAGCAGCAGCAACAGCCGCAGTACCACCAGTACCACCAGTAGGGGACTCGATCGGACCAGATCGCTGGCTCTTCTCGAAACACTCTTGAAAGTTCCGCAAGTCCATGTAGTTTGTAAATATGCCGAGACTCGATTGGCACGAGATTATAACATTATTCTATTTTATGTCATTCATTTAGGTTCGACTTTCTTGTTTAGAATATTAAATTAAAAATTTCGAAAAACTTAACATTTGTTTTTAGTAACACCTTTTCCTTGGATTTTGGAAACAAATCTGGAATGTCATTATTATATTTGAATGTATAAAGGTTTCTTAAATATTGGCATTTAAAAGTAGTAACTAAGTAAAATTCGCCATCGAAAAAAAATGGGGTTAATTTTAATTTGTAAATACTTTTGACCCAAAAAAGTTTAGTGAATTTCCTAGTCGATTATAATGTAGTTTCTTTGGTTCTATTTTCCCAAAAACCTGTGGCTCAACAAAAAATAACACTCCAGGAAATATTCTATTAACATAGTAGAAAGTATCCCTCACATTATTTAAAAATTTGCTAAATGCATTTACTACCCCTCTGCTAACACCTTCCCAGTTTCCTGGAGTTCAAATATTTGAAGACCAGCTGAGTCTCGCCCAAATGTCCAAATTGAGGTCACACCGATGTCTGCCAGCGCGAAGGTAAACAAATTTTATTTGCGTATAAATCAATGCCTTAACCTAACCCCCGAGCAATTGGCAAAGCTCATAAAGGACGAGGGCCAAGATCCCAGTGACATCCGAAGAAGATCTAAGAACAACCCGTTCGTTCAGTTGCTGACAAAGGCCATCTAATGGCAGTTCCCACCAGAAGCCGTGGATCGTGGTCACCGAAGACACGGATTTGGAATTGGACTCGGACAACCCGGCTGGACCGGTCAGACCGGTTGTCCTTTTGGGAACTTCTAACTCACGCCACACCAAAAGCAATCGCAATCGCATCGCAGTCGCATCCAGTGTCCTTCTGCAGTGTCCTTGCATAAATTAGACGAGAACGTGTGAGAACTTTGAGGAGACGAATATCCCTTGCTTTGATGACCTTATCGCCCAAGAAGACAAGAAGAAGAATCCAAGACCGGCGATTACGAACCGGTTCTGGACAGTTTGGAGGTGAGATGACTGTGAATATGACTGACAGCCAGGCCCGATCGCTTCGCTAATGACCCGCATAGCGCATAGGTCAAAGGGCAACCCCGGCCCAAGCTGCAACCCATTTACATAACCCTATTGATCTGGGCTGATGTAAGGATCCTGAACATGTGCATGGTCATTCGGGCCCAAGATATAGACAAACAACTGGACATTAGGCCTGGCCGCCGGGCATTTGTGTCATTTGTTCGTCCGACTTGGAGGAGATATGCAAATGAGAGGCGAATGCAACCCCCGAGGTTACAAGAAAGTTACAGGGCAGTCAGGACCCTAAAGTCTTCAACCCCTTCTTCCCGTTCCCTGGCAGACCCATTTACATATCCGACCCGCATGATGGACCGACTGTCTTGTGCTGTCCTGTAACCAAGTAACTGCAGGACATTCAGGTCACTGCCCAGAACCAGTTTCCAGCCAAAGGATGGCCCGTCGCCAGTTGACCTTTTTGGATGGCCCATTGCCCGCGAACTTGTGTAACCGGTTGGACAGTCCACTTTTCCGAAGCGGCGTGAGAAAATCTCTAAGATGACCCAAGACAAGATGAAAAGGAAGCTGCGATTCCTACATTCGTATGCTAATCTTTTGCATTGCTCGTCCAAATTTCACGCCAAATCATTGCCCTTAAATAAATAATACGCCAAAATTATGAAAAGTCACGATTTATGCGAGTTCTGATGGGTATGTACAGAGAGTGGGGTAAGGAGAGGAAATGGAAGGGGTATGCAAATCAGGGTTTTGGTCCTAGAGTTTTCCTTGCGCCATGTCCCAGCGGTGCTCACCATGGCCTCCTTGACGATCTGTCCAAATCACCTAAGTCAGTTGAGAATTTAGGAGGGAAAAAGCCTGGATAATTATCTGGAAATTTATTAAGATTGCTCTTAAGCTCACCTCGCCCTTGTAGCGGTTCGTGCCTCGTTGGGACTCAAATCGTTTTTCCTGCGCCTTTGGATGCTTGAGGACGTGGCCGTGACTCCGAGAATTGGGACCATCAAACCGCATGAAAATGTCACTAGATTTGGAGATGAAAATTAAGACATCGAAGCTTCTAGTTTATGGAGCTACGTTTAACTTTAAAAAGTCAAATTTGCTGTGCATTTTCATTATAATAATACATTTTTGCATGTGCATTAAGCCCTTTAAAAGCTACGCTACTTAAAATCAAGTCAGGATGTAATTGAGCATACCTAATTCTTTTTTTCAATTAAAGCGATAGGCGTTATAAAGCAACCACCACCATTTTGTCCAAATATTTTATACACTTTTCACCCTTTTTCCTTTTACAATTTTCCTATTTAAAATGATTGAAGGAAGTAATTGTGAAGTGTGTATAATTGCGTGTATGCATGAATTAAACAACCACCATTTTCAATCAGGAAAATCTTATACATTTTAAATGAAATTTAACTACCACCTTTTTCACGTAATAATTTTAGCCAGTTTTCTATGGAAATTGGGTAAGTTTTAATTTTGGGCAAGTTGTGCTTCATAGGGGTGAGTGATTTTAAGCATGCAGTGAACACAAAAACTCTTGATATTTTTTAAATTAGCTTAAAAATTGTTGAAAACAAAATCCTCTTTTCTAGATTATCAAGTTGATAATAAAAATATGAATTGTATATATTCCACAATATCAGAGTTATTGACTTATTAATTCTTTCTAGATTTCATAAGAAATAAACCGAATTGAATACCAAAATATACATTTTGAATGTCAAACTCACATTCATTCACATTGATATTGATATAGCTTTTTTTTGTGGGTGTGTGTATAATCCTAAATTCTGTGTAATGCTTAACTTTTTAGCCATTTTCCCACCCAGTTTTCTTACTGAAAGTATTTGGTTTCCTTGGTCTCCGCGACATCCGTGTCCAGATCTTTGGCAAACCTCCTGGGTCGTTCGGTCTGGACATTCTGCGAGGGTTGCTGCTGCTGTTCCTGCAGTCTGGCTATCCGAGGTGGAATCACATGTAGCACATCGCTGGTGAAGAGAGCCGGTGGCACATTGTAGAGTTGCTGCTGTTGCAAGTGTTGCTGCTGCAAGTGTTGCTGTTGCTGCTGCAAGTGTTGCTGTTGCTGCTGCAATTGCTGTTGCTCCTCGGCGCGACGTTGAGGTTGAGGTTGCTGCAGGGAGACCCTCTGCACCGGCAGATAGTTTCCCTCATAGCGATACTTGGCCAACTCGGCATGTGGAGCAATGGTCCTCTGCTGATACTGGACACTCTGTTGCGGATAGAGGGGCGGAAGGGGCGGGGCTGGAGCGGGCAACTGTTGCTGCTGGTACTCCAAGGCCAAGGGCTGGTAGGTGGGTCGGTAGTTGACCAGCTGGAAGTGCGGTGTCTGCTGTTGGAAGTGAATCGCCGGGGGAGCCGCTGCCACTGGGTTATAGCCAGCCACATAGGGCGTAGTTGCTGCTGCATACTCAAATCTCCGCAGACGCGGTGCATCATTGTATAACTGCCTGGGGTGATAGAACAAATGCTGCTGATGTTGCAACATCGCCGGCGACACGAGCAACATGAATTGCACTAGCAACACTTGCATCCTCAGCTGTTTGAGCACTCCGAATAACTTTCCAATTGGCAGCTCCATCGCGTTGCACTCTCGTCAAATTTGTGGCAGCATTTTGACAACAACATAGCCATTTATAGTTGGCCACTTTTCGGGGGCTTGGTTGTCGGTGGCCCAAAGCCGGAAGTCACTTGCCCAGCAGGCAGCGGTGTGTGAAATCGATCGATGTTGCCCCGGATTGTGCAATGCTCCAACGGTCAGGTAGAGGGCTTATATAAGACTAGCTACATAAAACTGAAAACCAAAATAGGCAAGAAATGAATATAGGGTAAAATCAGCGAGTCTGACGAAGATGAGACCTAGAATTAGAAATAGAGGCATCTGGCGGCCTTCGCCCATCATCAAGGTCAAAGCTTGGCTATTTAGCATATAAAAACTTTCGGCAATTTCATTGTCAACATCTGTTTACAGAACTTCCTTTGACCGTTAGAGCCGGCCATATCCAGTTCCAGCTCATCCTGATTGGTTGAGCGCATATCCTTTCAGCCTGTTGCTTCTTTCAGGGGGTTGAAAGCCTCGCATGTGACCTATAAGCAGTGGGCTTTGCAACCCCTTGTCAACAAATCACCCCTAAAATCCAAGCCACAAGATACTTCCTCGTCGATCTACGCAGCTAGGCAGTTCATTCGACTTCTGAAGTTGAAACCCACAGCACCACCAAGAACACTACTAACTCTACCAAAACTCCTCAGCAAAAACCCATTTGGATACTCCATTGCAACCAGAGAAAAGGTGAGTCTTGATAGCCATAACACATTTATAATATAGGGACACGAGGTCGATTCAACACTTCAACATGCATATGTAAGGGTACAAACTCCAGATCCACCAAAGTTATAGACTATAGATACGGTTATAATACAAAGATTGTGGCCTCCACGAGAGACTGCTGCAACAAGTTTTCAGTGCTTTCGATTCGGATCAATTCGGTTCTGTTCGGTTCACAACAAAGCTAGAAGAAGGATTCCAGAGATTAGAGATCGGTGGCTTAGTCGGCCATGTTGACGTTGTTCATGCGCATCTTGGCAAAGTCCTCAAAAACAATGTTGTCATCGTCGTCCTGGTAATAGCCCTTGACATTGCGGTGCTGCTCGATGGACTTCATCTTCTTCATGGCGTTCGAGCGCTTCTTCTCGATAGTTCCTAGACCATTATCAAGGGGATTATATGGGGGTTATTAGAGAGCTATCATATAGGGCTTACCAGGTGCCGGTTGGAGCAGTTTGAAGGGCACATCCGTCTGCATTTCTCCGCCCAGAGTGCCGCAGTTTAGCTTGATTCGCACCGAGTACGAGATGACAATACCACAGGCATCTCCCGTGGACTTGCCCTCCTGCACCATGGTGGATGAGGCCAGGTTGACGTCTTCGTCCTTCAAGTGTCCATCCAGGGCAATACCTGTGGTTAAGAAAAAGGATATCACCCAGTTAGAAACCTTCGAATACCACGTATTTTTATCAGTATCCCACCATGACGATCCTTGTTGTTGGCCGCCAGGGGAATCAGGTAGAAGGTCTTGGTCAGATTGGCGCCCGGGGTGATGGGGCAGCCCTCCTTGGTCTCCAACTGGGCCACGTGCTTGCTGAACTGGGCGTTCACCATGGTGATCTCGGTGTGCTGCACAATGAAGCACTTGATGCTCTTCACCGACTTCTTCGAGTTATTCGAAACCTGAACGGTGGCAGCCGTCTTCTCGCCATGGTAGTAGATCTCCCGGTCCAGCGTGACCTCCAAACTGATTTTTCCATTGGAGAAGGTGAATCCCTTGCTGACCAGCGAACTGGGCAGTCGCTGGCCGCGATTGAGGGGAGCATACTGGAGCTTCTTGATCACCAGACTGACCATGCTGCGCTTGTGCTGGCGATCATCCTCGGAGTCGCCCACAAAGGCCCGGATGGTGTACTCCACGCCCAGGGGCTTGCCATTGTCATCGCCCTCCTGCTGCAGGGTCACCGAGCTGGGAGAGTTGGGCGGGAAGTGGAAGGTGAAGGGGTGGGCATTGACGCCCAGTTTTCGCACTAGCTTCTCCTGCATCGGAGTCATCTCCATGTTGGGATTGGTCATGGGCACAATTTGCTCCCGGGAGAGGATCAGCTCCTTGGAGAACTTCACTCCCATGACCTCGTCCTCCTCGCGGCCATAGCGATAGGTGGTGGCCAGTTGACCAAAGACCTTCCTGTTCTTCAGGTAGTCCGGCTCCACTACGATAACCCCATCGACGGGATCGCAATAGTCCAGATGGTCAATAAAGTCGCGGCGGCCCAGATAGAAGGTGACCTTGCCGTTGGGCGTGGCCTTCTTGAAGACCTTCACGGATACAACCATTGTGGATAAGCTTTAGTTCCTGGGTTCCTGACTTCCTGGTTAATGAAACTTTGGTTCGATGCGCGTTATAGAGTTTTCCGTTCGGCGGAGGAAAATGCGAAACCCAAGTGCCGTGCAACCTGCTTATATACCTTTCTGTTCGCCCTGTCCGTGGGTCTTCTTCATTCTGGCCACTAACTGGATTTGCGCGTTATGCAGTTGTTTGCTGGACAAAAAATAGAAAAAAACATATAGATAGAAAACTGCAAACAAGCTGCTTCTGGGGGTTGGTCTATTTTTCTGCGCAGTTTGCCACTTGCCCGAGCAAATTGGCTAATGTCAAGTATTTTCCCATTACGACCTAGTGCGAGGTCATCTGGCCAACTGTTGAATAATTGGGAGGCGACTCGAAGTGGGATTAGCATTTGATTCGGTGTTACCGGGTTGTTATCAGTCCGGAAAGTCTTGCGCATTTTAGCCAATCGCTTGCCATAGACATCGGCGTCGGGGAAGCCCTAAAAGTTTTAATTTTGTTATGGATCAAACGTCGATATATTGATTTGTCTGCCAGGGGCTTAGTTGTGGGATGAACCGTACACCTTATTTATGAAAGATCGAATTTCGTGAAATGTCTTGCGAAAAATGTAGCGAATCTAAAAGATAAATTATATATAATGTAAATATAACAGGAATGATGATGAACACTATTTAGGTAACATGGTTATTTAGTAGATCTATTTATAAGCAATATTATTATTTGATTATTCATTTATATAGGACTTAATATACAGTGGATATATGCTGAATAACTGTTTAGCCAACGTTACTGTTCTTAAAATTATTACATTTGTGACCTATTCTATTTATTAATCTTGATAAATTTGTTTATTCCCTTACAGTTCAGATTTCAAAAATGCAGACTCAGACGCACACCACCACAGATCGACATGGCTATAGCTTGCGCTTTTCGCCCTTCGAGGCTAACTATTTGCTGCTAGCTACAAGGTGAGACCACGTTTAACCCATTGTACTAAACCATAAATTAACATTATACCATTTACCATCCAATTCCCAGCCAATTGTACGGTCTTGCTGGAGGTGGTTCTCTCTTTCTGCTCGAACAGAACTCCAACGCAACCTCTTCCGACGGCCAGAACCTCGGGGAGCTGTGCCGTCTGGAGTGGTCCGATGGACTGTTTGACGTCGCCTGGTGTCCCTATGCCCCCGACATCGCGGCCACCGCCTCCGGAGATGGATCGCTCCAGATCTGGTGCGGATTGGACGGCGAATCGGCGGCCAACCAGCAGACGCCCAAGCAGCCGCTGATCTGCCTGCAGGAGCACAAGAACGAGGTCTACAGCCTGGACTGGGGCGAGAAGTGGAACTACCACACCCTGCTCTCGGCCAGCTGGGATTGCACTCTGAAATTGTGGGACTGCAACAGACAGAGCTCCATCACCACTTTTGTGGGCCACAGCGATCTGATCTATGGGGCCAAGTTCTCGCCCCTGATCGCCAATCTGTTTGCTAGCGTAAGTACTGATGGGCATCTTAACTTATGGAATTCTCTTGATTTTGCAGGTAAACCCCTGATGAGCATCGAGGCGCATGCGAGCGAGGCACTATCCTGCGACTGGTCGCACTTCGATCGGAATGTCCTGGTCACTGGAGGATCGGATGGCTTGATTCGGGGATGGGATCTGCGCAAGATGAGGACCCACGTCTTTGAGCTGTACTCCGGGGAATTTGCAGTGCGTCGATTGGCCTGTTCACCGCACTCGGCAGCGGTTTTGGCATCTGCCAACTATGACTTTACAACAAGGTAAGAGGTTGTCTATGAGAAGAAAGGTTATTCAAAGTAGAAAAAAGAAAAGAAAAAACGTTACAAATGGTCACCTCATATATGTCTATAAATGTTTAATACAAATACTCTCCGTTTAGGATTTGGAATCTGGAGCGTGGCGAGTCCGCCCAGGAGATCAATGCCCAGCACACGGAGTTCGTCTGCGGTTTGGATTGGAATCCTCACAGGACCCACCAGCTGGCCGACTGTGGATGGGACTCGTTGGCCAACGTTTATACCCCACAGTGTCTTAGCGGCGAACTGGCCGTCTAGGGTATCACTGGGCATGCCCGCAACTGGAAACACTGGAACTGGTACTCCCTAAATACCGAAAACACATGTGATAAGGCGCTAGTGGCGTCGAAATAGCCAGGCCTACAAACGGTGCACCGCCAGGAAGATAGCTGAGCTATACGAAATGCCTATAAGGAACTGTAAGGAACTCTAAGGATCCGGATCCGAAGACAGGGCGATGACGTGTAAATAGTTGTGTGATAAACGCTGAACGGGCGAATCCTCAAGCAGGTGCTTCAAATGTCAATAAAAGCTTACATATATTATGCGGATTATATGAATTATGTGTATGGGTTCGGTATCTGTTTTCTGCTGTTATTATGCCCTTCACAATAAATTTCTTGGCCGCTGGCTATAATTTGCACTCGGTCCCTTGTCTTAACAAGAATTTAACGGGTCTCGGAATTGGTTAGGTGGCAAAGAGTCAGCAGACGCTAACGGAGATTGACCAGGGGGATCTGGATCTGGACGTGGATGCTTTTCCGGCTGGCTTACCTCTGAAACAAACAAACACGCAATAAAGCGCTAATTTGCTGCAACGTTTTATTGCCTGACTGGAGCCCGAAATCCCTGACATTCCCGGAATTGACACAGCCAACGAGAGATGGCCCAAAGGTGTGCCAAGCGATCGCACCTTTTCGGCCGACATGGTGTGAAAAGGCAACAGCAGCAGCAGCAGCATCAGTTCCTCCGATCCCTGATCCCATCCCGAATCCCCAGACCCTGATCCTGTCATTAAAGCAGACCGAGCTTTAACTGCCACTCGAGGCAAATATTTGCTTTGAAGCCAATTGGCGCTGATTTCTTCTGACAATTGGGGGCAGATCGGGAGGACCTGACTCTCGACAGCCAGCAGCAGCTGCTGACCCCCAATTATCTGCTCGCCAGTCAAGTGAAACCAAAATTGATATTAATGCCTTGTTTGTGTTAATAAAAATCGGATTTTGGGGGTCTGCGAAGTGCTGAGTATATCCTTAGGCGCTGCCAGATCTTGATCTCAATATGGCACTTTATTTTATTTTAAATAATTATTTAATGAACGAGGAACGCTAAGTGTTTTAGAGTGCTTGTCGTAGCAGACATAAAATATTTTCTTACTGTTGAGTTGGATAAAATGAGATGCCATGTACGTCAGTACAATCTAGAAAATATTTTTTTATTATAATAGTGACCATTTTTTTAAATATTTTCTAAAATAGAATTTATTACATTATTATTATTATTTCCCTTGATATGGGTTGGGCGCCATCTATCGGCTTTATACAGTACCTTTCAATTATACATACATCTACACGAATTGTACATACATTTTACTTAAACATGCACTGCTTGAAAAGAGGTATTTTCAAACTGCTTTAAAACCAGTTTTTTGAAACAATATAACTAAAAATAAAAATAAGATTCTAAAAAAGTTATTTTAATTATATGTTAGAAAAATATCAGAGAGCTTGGTGCTACCAGAACGAAAAATAAAAGAGGAAGAATGGATAGCACCTTTAGTCGAAATGTAAAAAATATTGCAGTTTAGGGTTTCTTTTTCAAATGAGACCAAGTTTACTCGTAAATGTAAGTTTAAGTTTTAAGAAAATCTGAACTAAATTTAAAGAAAATATGGAAAATGTAATTCCTATTAAACTGCTAATTGTAATCTTCAGATATGGATACAAAACTGGAATACCCATGTTGTGTTACACCCTTTCAGCACGATGTCTTACCGTCGTAAAACAGAAATTGGATTTAAACTGAGGAAACAATCCTGGCAATTACCCGCAGCAATTTAGTCAAAAGCCAAACAGTCGGGTAAACTATAAATTAGCGCCAAACAAAGTTGCAGGCGGCTGCTGGGCGTAGAATTGGTCACTTACCGAGCTGCCTAGGCCATAACCTTGGGTTGGCCCTGGCCCCACGGATCTCGTCAGTGTCAAGGCTGCGTGGAGCAGCTCGTTATAAATAAAACAAAAAATATAAAGCAGAGAGAAGGAGTACAGCTCAACACCCAGCACGCGAGGCGATCGCTTCTGCTCCGGCAGCTCCCCCGAAACTCGTACATACTTACCTCCCCGGGAGGTGGATGAGATGGAGGCTAGGGATAGGGGGACTTATCGCCAGCAGGTTCTGGATCGTGTCTCTACCTGGGCCGGCTCCATTCTCCACTGCACGCGCCTCGCTTTCCCGTTCAGCAATTTAAATTGCCTCCACGAGCATTTTGATGGCGATCACGCGCCCCCTTTGAAATCTCGCTGCCCAATCTGCGCCATAAAGGATCCGCAGACGAGTCCCCGTTTTTGTTTCTGTTTCTATACTATACCTATACCATACCATACCTTCTTTTAACGACTGTCTCTGGTATTAATTTTGTTTTAACGTTTTGTTCTGAGGGCCTTAATCGTCACCGTTTCGCATCGGGCATCCTGGCGGTTCGGCTTTTGGCCAGGCTAACACGTGGTATTTTAGACCTCCTTCGGTGCACAGTTGGCCAGGCATCATCACAGAACACACCGCAAACTAGATGCTAACGAAATGGTTTTTGGTTTTTTTTTCTCTTGATATTTCGGAATTGGAGTTTGAGTGGGCGTAACGCAAGGGCAATCTTGATAAGGAGGGCGTTCGTTTGAAAAGACAGAAGAGTGCCGGAAATAATTGTCAGGGGATGATTGCCGGCTGCCCGGGCTACCTGTCTTCACGGGGGCTAATTGAAGCCGGAATCACAGATCCTGGCTAGGGTAATTAAAAATTCAAAGAGCTCAACCAGGATGTGGCTACCGTTAGATATGTGCTGATGGTGTGAATTTATTCACCTGGGAAGTTGGAATTTATTCATAAGATCCTCGGGCACAGGAAACTCTTGACGAGGTGTTGAATGCCCAAGTCTGATGTATTCCGAAACGCGAGAGTTACCTCAAAATCAAAATTACCTAAACTGCGCACGCTCTGCTCTTCGGGTCCTGAGATCCTGAGATCCTCGCTGATCCTGTCTCGCCATTGTTCCAGCTCGCTTATGACATAATGAGAGCAGCCAGTCAGCAGTTTTACGCAAGTCCTGCCAGCGGCGAACGCAATATTATGCAATACCAGCAGCGGCAGGGCCATAAACCCAAGGACCCTAGACCTAGATCTAGATGGCCCATAAAAACGGCCACTGAACTACATTCGCTGCCTGGCTGGACCATCGCGACCTGAAAACTGAAAAAATCTGCGCACATTTGTTTATGGCATGTTGTTAAAAAATTCAGGACATCGAGAGCGAGACCAAAATCGGGGCCCTGTTTTTGGGATGGCAATTTACGTAATTCTGGGCAAAAAACAAGGCCAAGGGACCCGCTGTTAATTCCGCGAAGTATTTTTGCATTTTTTCCAGAATTTGCCTCGACCCAGATCCTGGAACAGGATCACATCATCGCCGAGCTGCTCTAATTTTTTGTTACAATTGTTTTTTGTACCTCAGCAGATTTGCATTCGCGTGGCAGGCTCGTTCTTTTATTTTTTTTGGTACCACTTGAGGTTGACCCAGGCAAACAAAAAGTTGTCCTACATAAACAAAAAAAATTGGCTCAGTTGGCAGCGGTTACAGTCGCGTGGCTGCCAAAAAGGACCCTACAATTTCTGGCTAAATAAATAAAAAATAGGTCACTGCTACTGGGGAATGAAACCACTTAATTTTAAGAGTTTCCTTTATTTACCTATAAATCATATTTGTGAATTCTCAGTATCGCTGGGAAATTCTGAAAAGTGTTTGGATATTTACAAATACGAGATCAACGCGATGAGGCATCATGATTTCTTTTCTAAAAATATTAGATCTACTTTGCTTATGCGCCGTGTTGAGTGATTTTGATTATTTTCCCTATAGAATTTTCAATACCGTTCGGTAACCTTCAAATTATTTCGATCTGTTGTAACTCAGCTAATAAATTTAAAGACTAAAAATGGAATTTTATTAGGTATCCAGACCAGGGAATGACTTATTTTTATTGTGTATTTCAATGGTATTGGAATTTTTGGCATTTGCTGGCATTTTTCATGGTTGAGGGTGAAGGACGTTCTACGGCGTGCTCCAAAGATCAAATACTATGGAATCGGCGAGACTAACGATTTGGGGAACAAGGTCGTCTCGCAGTCAGCTATAAATAAGATTTTCATTCCGTGCAAAATTTTTTGCGTATAAATAATTTGTTGGAAAAATAAAACTGTCCGAAATCCGTCCACGGTTGATCTGTCCTACTTGCTGCTTGTTTTTGAACTCATGACCAAAATACTTTAGCGGCCCGTCTCACGGCTAAAAATAGTGCCCGCCTCCCACACAGATCGGCCTCCGATCCCCCGGATTTCGGATTCCGCCCCGTTCGTAATTCTAGTTGTAGAATTATCGACTGACGTGCGCCGCGATGACGCGCTTTCTCCCGGGCGAAATGATTCTTCACAGAGGGCTCCAGATCCAGGTGATGACGATAGCCAGTGGTCCGTAGCACCAGCAGGGCGATCCAAAATTGGCAAAGTCCAGATTGTATATCTGTGTTTGGTGATCGGGGTGATGATGATGGTGATGGTCCAAAGGCGTCAGCAGCCGGCCTAAAAATCAGTTTCCCAGTTCGATAACAAATTTGATGGTTAAAATAACATTTGATCCCAAACGAATCGGAATTACCCTATCAATGATATAGGGGTTTTAGTACAAAACATTTTTATAAGGTTATAAGATATTTAGATACTTACAAATATTATTTCGAAACCATTTTTATATATTTTTTTTTTCGATGCCAAGTCAAATTTAATGATATCATATATGGGCACATAGTCCCAATTTGTGCATTATACAAAATATACTGTAAAATTATTATAACTAATAATAGTTTTAACATTTTAAAACATTTTTTGACTAATAGACTATTTTTAACATTACAATTTGAAAGTTTTTATTTTGGGATTTCATGTGTTTTCATTATATTGTTTATTATAAACCAGAAAATTAACGGAACCCTTTGGTACCCTACCTTTGCATTACCCTAACGCAAAACACATTTATAGCAAAAACAAGAAAAAAGTGCAAAACGCGAGAATATTTTTCACGAAAAACAAATTCCTTTGCAGTACGTCAATGACGTCAATGCGAGACGGGGCTGTCAAGAAAATATAACGAACGCAAACCGAGCGGAATCAGAAGCGGAATCCGGGGAAAAGTTTTCCCCGAAAAAAGGAGGGGGTGGTATGTAGAAAGGGGGCGGGTGCGTCTGTTAAGTCCAGACGTGGGCGT